TATTTTTCTCATGTATGATAAGATAATGTAAGTTCAGTGTCGTAGAGATCTGGCTTTACATGGACAAAGTGAAATAAAGTGAAAGTGTGGAATACTCCGACCGTGCGTTTTGCTAATTCGGGTTAGCGTGGCTAACCACCGCTGCTAACTCCTTCTCCGACCTCTCACCTCACCGTCACACCTGGAGTAGAAATTGTTCTGAATACGTTTGCATAAATGTTTCCATTCATATGTAGGATGCCATTGCTCATCACTGTCATTACTCTTCTTTAATCTTGACCAATCCAGCTACACCGAAGTTCACTCTTGAGCCATCAAATGTAGTAGAGGACATTGGATCCAACGTGACGTTGTCCTGTCAAGCGCACGGGCATCCTGAGCCGCAAGTCACATGGAGGAGGGAGGACGGGCCCTCTCTGTTTAACCGAGCCCACTCACATAGCACTGTCATACAGAAAAAAGGGGACCTATACATATTTAGTAAGTCTGTTAAGTCAGTTTTGTTCATATAAAGTCAAAAACAAATTGTTCAAGTTGCTCCTTTTTATCTGTCAGATCTATGGGTGGAGGATGAGGCGGAGTACATATGTGAAGCCAAAAACCGCTTTGGGAAGATCCAAGCCAAGGCTAGCATCACTGTGACAGGACTTGGTAATATCGCTTTATAAAATGTCTGAATTATTATATTGTATTTATTTGTGTATCTTAGAAGAAGAGGGTATTTTAACTCTAAGGTTATTGTCTGTCACACATATTCTTACTTTAAGTGAGGATATGTATGAATTAAAGATGACTGACTGCTAACAAATACCTAAAATTGGTTGCACTTAAATATTTTTATCTGTTTTATCTGGTCCTAGTTATTGTAATCAAAATGCTCACATCTTTATAAATTCTTTGGATTTCTTAATATTGGGACCATAATATTTGCATCTGTTCTTCTGAATTCAGAATTCAGTCTTATTAAGACAAAGTTTGTGGGGTGTGGTTTGCTTGTAGAGTAAAATTTTGAATCTAATTTTGCAGTAACGGTTTACTTCTTGCAATAACTCAACAACTAGTTGTCCTTTTATTTGAAAATGTAAGATTTTACTGGAGATCTTGTTGATAATGTTGTCAGACTTTTCTTGCAAAAATCCATGTGTCATTGGGCATTTGTCTATTATCACATCTATTTAACAGAAGCTAAAAATGTGTCTGTAAATGTGGGTGACATGTAAGCACTTTAGATATTGATCCAAGAACATTCATTCTTTTCTGAAAAATATAACCTTAAGTTGTCATAATTCCTCTTTATGGTCAGGTAATATTTCAGGAACAAATTACAGTATATGTTTCAGAGTGAGCTTGCATGTTTTGGCCTTTACCCAGTCCAGTGAGTTTATTAACATGCTTCAATGCATGTGTGGGAACACATGTGCCTTATTAGCCACCATTAGTTTCTCTGCAGTGGAAACACGTTGAGTCCTTAAATGTGGGCCAAAGGTTAGAAAGTGCAAACACACAACCATATGACATATATTTCACACCCCACTGTCTGCCTTTCCCCTTCCGGTTAAATTACCTCATTGGATATGAACACCCAGTGCAGAAGCACATGCACAGATGTTTTATTAGCACCATAAAGTATGAAGATTACTTTACCCACCTCTGCATTGGACTTGACAGACACAGCTACAGTGTTCATTACACTCACATTTTGCTCCCGTAGTTTTCGTATGGCATTGATCCTCAAATGAAAATAAAGTGAAGAAGGATCTTTATAGTGCAATCTAGTAAAACACAGTATGATTCAATTTCAAATCCAGTTGCAACCAAAATACAATACAAATTGTCAATTTCTAATTAATCCTACTTAAGCTAGAAACATAATTGAGCCAATTGTGTAATTGTATTAAATACAACACTTTGTTCACAGTGTTTTTGATAAAAACATGTCAAAGTTTTTATCCATCACATAAAAACAAGGTGAGGAAAGTGTTTCCCCGCCAGGCTGTCTGGCCGAATAGATATTTTTTGGTAGAATAGTCTGGTAGTTATCTCCTTATTGTCATACAGATGGAGCAAGTCTTTCTCTGTGTTTTTGAAAGATGATAGTTATTTGATAGATGCATACTGTGTCCATGTTCCAAGTAATTGTGAAGGTCAGTGATCCCTTTCATTGAGTTAAATTAGCCCTGTGGAAAAATGTTGCTCATCCTTGTGTTGATAAATTAAATACATCTGCTTTCCTTAAGGGGAACATAGACATTTGCTTTTTATTTAACTCTATTCGAAAATTTGTACTTTTACTCCATTATATTCAGTTGTCTACATTGATTATGATCTATGTTTTCTGCACTTTGGGCAAAATTACATTTTTTTAATTTCAACCTTAGTTGAAGTTATTCAAAACAATTTTCATGCATGGCATCAGATATAAGGACAAACATTATCAAAACTTATTTTCTGCTTAAAGAAATTCCCATCAAATTTTGTCTCGTTTCTCTTTGAAGTTAAACCTGTGATTGCGATGAGTCCGCCTGTTATCAGTGTGATCGAGGACCAGCAGCTCACTCTGCCCTGCGTGCTGCTGGCTGGAAATCCACTGCCAGAAAGGCAGTGGCTCCACAACTATGGCCTGGTGGGAACACAAACAAAAAGTGCATAGTTTCTTGCTCCTGCACGCAAAAAGCTTCTGGTTATTTAAAAACTCCCCCTCCTGCAATCTTCTAGGTGACCCCAGACCAGTATGTCACAGTGAGGAGAGATGGTAGTCTGCATATTGAGAGAGTTCAGCTGGATGATGGAGGCGACTACACCTGCTTGGCTGAAAACGTTATAGGGGCCACCAACCATACGACTGTCGTTTACGTCTATGGTACGTTTATGTGCAAGAAATATATTGCACGATAACTACAGAAATGTTTTAACATCAGCTAACCCCCTCTCCACAGTTATCCCTACAATTCAGCATGGGCCTCAAGTATTTAGCACAATTGAAGGTACATCTATAACTCTGCCCTGCCGTGCCAGTGGAGTACCCAGTCCGGACATCACTTGGAGCAAGGTCTGTAAGAACAACATGTCTCCATTAAAATAAATATTCCAAAGCTCTCTGGAGACTACAGAATGGATGAGATACAGCACAATAACTCCTACATTAAGTGTTTCTAGGATAAATATCTGTAAATCATACACCATTGTTTGTTTCTCTGTAATTCACAACTAACTTTTTTCCTCAATAGTTTTCTCGATTGTAAAAGTCTTTGCTTCCTGTTTTTAAGTGTATTTTAAAAACACATCTTTTTTTAATGGTGTTTAGTCTAGTGTGAGTTGACATGATCTTTTTATTGTCCCAATGTTATGAGTCTTTTAATATTTGCTTTATGTGTTGGTATCTATCTCTGTTCTATTTATCTTATTTCTGTATAGCACTTTGGGCTAACTTGCTGTTTACAAGTTTATAATCCAGTTTATAAATAAACTGGATTTGGATTTGCTGTGAAAGTGAAAGGGGCAATAGATTCTCTTCGGGTTACTTCTCTCTGTAACATTAGTCAAAATAGTTGAGTCATCTGTGAGCCATGCTGTTTATACACAAAAAAGTCCTGACATAACCTTTGTATTTATGTTTAGTTACTTGAAAGAGCAACATTGTTTTAATAGCAGCGTTTTTATTTAATATCGACCGGGAATTGAATAATACATTTCATCACTCTTGGTAACAAGTGTTTTGACAAGACGATTAAATGAAATAAACATTGAATTCTGTCCTCACCATTAATCTTTTAGGGTGGGGAGCTGCTAAACGTGGGTGGTCCAGCTTTCTCTTTGGATTTGGATGGCAGCCTCCTCATCACTTCTCCCTCTGGAAACGAGACTGGAGAGTTTGTCTGCACAGCTACCAATGCAGCGGGATATGCAACTAGGAAGGTGCAGCTCACAGTCTATGGTAACCAGCTTATTATCTATAGAGACATTAAGTTGTTTATGACATGCAGAAGTATTCAAACCACATATCTAGCTGGGATGTTAGTGTCACACATATTCGAATCACCTCTAAATTTATCACTGATCTCTTTCCCAGTCCGACCTAAGCCTGGAGTTGGTGGCACTGGAGGTTTAGGAGAGCCTGTGAGGATGTCAGTGATCCAGGGAGAGGATATTGTTTTGCCATGTGACGTTCAAAGTATCCCACCACCCACCATCAGCTGGGCGAAAGAGAGACAGCTCATCTCGCCCTTTTCCCCGAGGTAAAATCCAACTCGTATTGAACACACACAGAAAACTAAAGGCCTTTGTGTTCTTTTTCTTACTTTACTCCTGGGAATGTTACAAAATCCACAGGGATTGTCATTGATCACAGTTCATTGATGCTTACCCATAAGGGTAGCCTGGATCTGTACACACACAAAGCCCTTGCTTATTTCAGAAAGACGGTGCCAAACCAGATTCTGTCAGCATTATGACAGCATGTCTGTGTAGTAAAAGAGTCCAGGGGCTAAACAGACTCCAGTCTGCTATCCAGACCTGTCACACTGAAAACATATGTTGCTTTGTGAAGCAAAAATATGACAAAAGAAGCCTTGAAGTTTGAAATTGCAAAACCCTGTGTCAGACAAAACGGGAAAAACATCTGCAACTACTGTTTCCTCACTTTTCAATGTTATTAAAAGGGAAGATGATCCAAAACAAACATCCCTGCATCTGACTGTAAATATTTCCACAATTACATGCAACAAAGAAAGACCTCATAAATATTGTCAGATTATGTTATTTTCGTATGAATGAGTGGTTCAAATTTACTCCATGCTATCCAAATTACAGTGCTTTGTCCCTGTCATTCTTTGAGGCTGTCTAAGACGACAAAGCTATCCTGCATTTAGTCTGTGATCTGCCAAGGTAACTAATTATGGATAATGGTCGACTATTATGAATTACTGTGGTATCTGTTTGGAGTCATAGCTGCTTAAATCATTGAGTGGAAACAATTAGTGTTCTACTTACAACCCCTGGCAAAAAGTATGGAATCACCAGTGTTGGATGAGCAGTCATTCAGACATTTCATGCTGTAAAA